ATTTCAATGAAAAAAAAGATGTAATCATATAGGTTTCAAACCCGCTCAGAACAAAAACATATATCAATCATGAGGAAATGTCAAGGTGCGATTTCATAGAATAAAAATGTCATCATCGGCAGGTTTTAAACTCGCACATTCCAAGAGAAACAGATTTTGACTCTGGTAATCACTTGGCAATTTGATCCTTGGTAGGTTTTGAACCCACGCAGACAGGATTTAGATTCTGTTGTAACAACTGCTTGGCTAAGACCAGTGAGATGCACTTCCAATGGACTCAATCAGATGTGAACCCTCAACGCACATTTATCTGCATTTGACCACCACACAAAATAGTGGGATGCAATGACTCATGAGCTTGAATTTAAGGCAAGTTTTAATGGCAAAAGAAAAACCATGTTATTATACAGGTTTTAAGCCTGCTTGGTTTAACAGAAATAGATATAGAAAATGTCCATGGGCAAATGATTACTCAGAGGGATTTAGGATCGACAAAGACAGACCTTCAGAGTGTGTAGAGTTCAAAAAGCGTGCAGACCAGAGTCGTGGCAATGACATGAGTTTCTCAGAAAACCAGGTGTGTTTTTATAGAAAATAAAATTTATCATTGACAGGTTTTGAACCTGCACAGTCCAAGAGAAACAGATTTTGACTCTGATGATCACTTGGCAAATTCATCTTTAGCAGGTTTTGAACCCACGCAGACAGATTTAGATTCTGTCATATCGACTGCTTGGCTAATACCGGTTGAATGCACTTGCAATGAACCCAATCAAAAGTGAATCCTCAAGGCAGTTCTTTCAATAGTATGGTTGTCATGATTGATTTTATTTATTTTACTCTTATTGCAAAAGACATCAGACTTCTTCTGGGGCTCTTGACTTCAAGACCTGTTTATCTAGCAATTGCTCTGAAAAGTGCTGATGACAGACCGCCATAGTGGGCCAATGATGTTTGTGATGTCTTGGGATATTAACAGCTGGATCATGAGTGAAAACCGACAATGGAAGGATCACATATGATTGGACTCAAGGAGGATATTGGAAACTAATACTAGAACTGACAAAATGCAGACAAACGTACCTTGAGGATTCACTTCTGAATGGGCTCATTGGTTGTGCATCTAACTGGTCTTAGCTAAGCAGTTGATATGACAGAATCCAAATCTGTCTGCGTGGGTTCAAAACCCGCTAAGGATGAAATTGCAAGTGATCATCAGAATCAAAATCTGTTTCTCTTGGACTGTGCAGGTTTGAAACCTGCCGGTGATAACATTTTTATTTTATGAAATCATACAACCAGTGAGATGACACTCTCAGGAAAGTACACATGAGTCCATTTCGAGGTGTGTTCTAACAGGAAAAAAAAAACATATAGATCAGTGTCTGAGATGCTGTCTATGAGGAAATATTCAAGACATGTTCTAATAGAAAAAAATGTGACATTCAACAGGTTTCAAACCTGTTGAATTCCAATGGAAACAGATTTGGACTCTGTGATGACAACCACTTGGCTAAACACAACTCTGATGAGCATTTGAGTAAACCAACCATGAGCATATATCAAGGTGCATTTTTATAGAAAATAAGAATTATCCTTGGCAGGCTTCAAACCTGCACGGTCCAAGAGAAACAGATTTTGACTCTGGCGATCACTTGGCTATTTAACATTTGGTAGGTTTTGAACCCACACAGACAGATTTAGATTCTGTTGTATCGACTGCTTGGCTAAGACCAGTGATATGCACTTCCATATGAACTTCATTCAGAAGTGAACCCTCAAGGCACAAAGTTCAATGTATGACCACAGTCTTGATGCAAACTCGGAATGATGAGTACAAGAACAATTTAATTCTCTTTAAAGGTCTCAACTTGGTTGAAGAAAAAGAGCAGATTACACATCAAATTTTCCAGTTTGATTCTAATGACCTGAGGAAGTTGTAGATAAAGCAGAAGTGTTTAGACAATAGTGCAACATTCTGCCCTTAGATGCTTTCAAGCGCTCAGTGTCAAATAACAGTTATAGCGTATTTTATACTTTGAGTCCCACAATATGCAAGATGGTGGTGGAAAGTTGTTCAGAGTCAAAAGATACATGGTGCTATGTAAGTAATTCTAAGTGTGTTCTCAGTGTGCAGAAGCAAGTCAGAAGCATAGCAAATAGGCAAAAGTATGTAAGTCGCTTCTGAATGGGTTCATTGGGAGCACATTCAACTGGTATTAGCCAAGCAGTTGATACGACAGAATCTAAATCTGTCTGCGTGGGTTCAAAACCTGCTAAAGATGAATTTGCCAAGTGATCATCAGAGTCAAAATCTGTTTCTCTTGGACTGCGCAGGTTTGAAACCTGCCAGTGATAAATTTTATTTTCTATGAAAACACACCTTGAAAAATTTGCTCATGGTCGGTTTGCTTGCAAGCTGATCACAGCTGTGTTTAGCTAAGTGGCTGTCATAACAGAATCAAAATCTGTTTCCATCAGAGTGCAACAAGTTTGAAACTTGTCTAATGTTGCATTTTTTCTCTAAGAAAGTGTCTTGAATATTTGCTCATAGACAGCATCTCAGAAATTGATCTTCATTGGTCTTGGTCAAGTTGTCACCAGATTTAAAATCTGTTTCTCTTCAACTGTGCAGGTTTAAAACCTGCCAATAACAACATTTTTATTCTATGAAATCCAAAATGGTGGAATGTGATGAATCACGAGTCAATGCAAAAGACACATCTCCATATAGATTACAAACCTGCTTAGTTCAAGAGAAATATATTTCGATTCTGGCAATCGCTTGAATAAGCACAATAAAGAATCTCAGCCTTAATAGATCTGTGTTTTTCCTAATTCCCCAGGTTATTAGGATCAAACTTGAAAGTTTGATGTGTAATCTGCTCTTTTTCTTCTTCAACCAAGTCAAGACCTTTAGAAAGAATTATATTGTTATTGTACTTATCCTTCTGAGTTTGCATCAGGACTTTGGTCATACATTGAACTCTGTGTCAAAAATACACTGCTGTGATCCTTTCATTGTCAGTTTTCACTCATGGACCCACCGTGGTGGTCTTCCATCAGCACTTTTTCAGGGAAATTGTTAGATAAACAGGTCTTGAAGTCAAGAGCCCCAGCAGGAAGTCTGTGTCTTTTGCAATAAGAGTAGGATAAAAAATCAACACTGACCATGCTATTGAAAGAGCTGATAAAATGCAGATAAATGTACCTTGAGTACTCACTTTTGAATGGGTTCATTGGAAGTGAATCTAACTGGTCTTGGCCAAGCAGTTGATACAACAGAATCTAAATCTGTCTGCGTGGGTTCAAAACCCGCTAAAGATGAAATTGTCAAGTGATCATCAGAGTCAAAATCTGTTTCTCTTGGACTGTGCAGGTTTGAAACCTGCTGATGATAACATTTTTATTTTATGAAAATGCACCTTGACAGTCTGAAACCCATTGAACGCTGCATTTTTTCTATTAGAACATGCCTTGAATATTGAATCATAGACAGTCTCTGATATCATTGATAGAGAGTGACTCGGACAATTTTCAACAGTTGGCGTGGATCATAAAACAAGTTGCTGCAAGGCTAGCAGTGGAACATGGTTTCATACACCAGCTTTGAATTTTTTTTGGTTTCTCTTCCAAGAAAGTGATAATGCCACCAGAAAATTGAGGCCTTCCAATTTATTTTAAGATTCATGTAGAAATGTGAAGGTGTGATTTCATAGAATAAAAATAAAAATGTTATTGTTGGTAGGTTTCAAACCTGCACAGTTCAAGAGAAACAGATTTTGACTCTGGTGACAACTTGACTAAGACCAATGAAGATCAACATTTGAAATGCTGTACATGAGCAGATATCCAAGACATGTTCTAATACAAAAAATGTGTCACTCAACAGGCTTCAAACCTGTAGACTTCAATGGAAACAGATTTTGAATCTATTGCAGCAATGACATGGCTAACATCAGTTGAGATGAGTTGTAGAGAAAATCATTCATGAGGCAATGTCAAGATGTGTTTTCATGGAAAATAAATTTCATCATTGGCAGGTTTCAAACCTGCACGTTCCAAGAGAAACAGATTTTGACTCTGGTGATCACTTGATAATTTCATCTTTCGCAGGTTTTGAACACACGCAGACAGATTTAGATTCTGTTGCATCAACTGCTTGGCTAAGACCAGTGAGATGCACTTCCAATGGACCCATTCGCAAGTGAATCCTAAAGGCAGTTCTTTCAATAGCATGAAGGATCACATATAATTGGACTCAAGGAGGATGTTAGAAATTAATGTTAGAGCTGACAAAATGCAGATAAATGTACATCGAGGATCCACTTCTGGATGCATTCATTAGGAGCGCATCTAACTGGCCTTAGCCAAGCAGTTGATGCGACAGAATCCAAATCTGTCCGCGTGGATTCAAAACCTGCTAAATATGAAATTGTCAAGCGATCATCAGAGTCAAAATCTGTTTCTCTTGAACTGCGCAGGTTTGAAACCTGCCAGTGATAACATTTTTATTTTATGAGATCGCACCTTGACATTGACTCATGTGTACTTTCACATTGTAGCTTGCATTCCCAAACACTTGCTTCATATGAAGAAGAAGAGCAGATTACACATCAAACTTTCAAGTTTGATCCTAATGACCTGTGGAATGAGGAAGAATACACATCTGTAAAGGCTGGGATTCAATGCAAAGATTCAAAAGAGCCATCTGGCCACCATTCACTTATGTACAAGGTTGAAGTGTACTGTATTTGAGACCTTGTGATGAAACGAATGGTCCGACCGTTTCCAGGACTAGCGGACTTCTAACTTGAGTTATCTTGCGCTCGTCGATAGTTATGTCTTCTGTTTTTGACCTTGTTTATTCTACCATCGCAGTCTTGTAACCAGCGATATATCTTGTTCCCATCTACGGGATCATCATCAGAGCTATAACAACCAACTTAGGGTGTTGCTGACATTAGGTCAAAAACCCATTTTATTTGTCGACCCCTATCATGTCATCTACCACCAATTCACTTGACACCGACCAGAATATGGCCGCTCCTAATAATGGAGACACACCAGCCTTGTTCCAACTCCTTGCGCAGCTCGTACAAGGACAACAAGATTTCGGACAAGCGGTGACTCAAATTTTAAATCAACCAGCATCAGCACCACAGACACAGCCTGCGGCACCTCCCAAGGCATCAGTCGCAGAGCCTGATGTCTATGACAGAAAATACGACACCTTTGATCCTTTTATGAGCCAGCTCTATTTATTGTTCTCTGCCAAACTGGCCGTCTATGTTAACGACCAGATGAAGATTGTCACTGCCTTATCCTTTATGAAAAAAGGCTTTGCAGGAACTTGGGCGACCAACATTACAAAGCAGCTGAGAGAGGGAACTGTTACATTCGCAAGCTGGACGGCGTTCAAGAGGAAGTTGAAAGAAGAGTTTGATGATCTAAATAAGAAGCAAGCCGCTCAAGTAAAGCTACATGCAAGTTAGAAGAATCCCAAACAATCTGCCGACGAATATTTCGCAGAGTTCGACCAGCTTGCGACTCTTGCAGGATTCAATGACGAAGCCCTGCTTGATGTTTTACAGCAGAACCTTGACAAGCTGACCTTTGACGCGATTGTAGCAGTGCCACAGGTCGACCGAACTCTGGCGGCCTGGAGGGATTATGTGAAGAGCTATGATAGGAACAAGAGGGCAAATGAGAGGAGTGAAGGAGAAACCCCGAGTGGAAGGAGATTTGGAGACGGATGAGCAGGACCAGGATGGATGAGACCTGGAAGTATGCCAGTAGAACAAGGCTATCCAAATGTGGGGACAGCTGTGACTACCAATGCAAATTTGAATATGGGGGGTCAATCAGGCATCGGGGGCACTGGCAATGGGGGCACATGCACTTTTCCTGGACGAGGCGAGCCTATGGATCTGGATCAGGCATGTGGATGTGCGGGACCAATCAAGTGTTATAACTGCGGAGAGATGGGTCATATCTCCCGCAACTGTACCAAGCCAAAGGAATGGCAGACTGCGAGGGCGATGTTTGAAAGTTTGGTGGATGAGCAGAAGAAAGAAGTTGCAGAGATATTCAGGGTTAGGAGTGATCAAGCTGGAAATGAGGGTTTTTCAGGAAAGCCAGGAGTAATGGGTGCTACTTCACCGGCGGATTGTACGATAAGTGCTGAATCAGTCAATGAAACATGTGGTTTGGACTCCCAAGCACCCAGCTCTATAGATCAACTGAAAGCAAGTTGCAGAAGAAAAATCAACGGAGAAAAGAGCAGAAACAGAAAAATAAAAAAGAAGAAGTGAGTAAGAGACAGTTGGAAGATGAGGAAAAGAAAAAGAAAGGTTCTCTACTCTGGACCATGGAGATGCTTCGTTCAGATGATGAAAGGGCGTTAAAGATACTGCGTCGTTGGACAAATTGTCAGCGTACTTCTGAAGTCAATATTGATCTCCTACTTCAGCTTCGACAGCTTGCTCCAATCCAACAAAGGGAAGTCCTCAGGGAGCTAAAGCGTCCAAGGAGCTGGATCCACAAAATTAATCAAAACTCAGTTGTCACATCAGTCATTATCTGTACCCTTGATTATCAATGCACCTTTGAGCTGAATGCTCTTTTGGATTGTGGAGCCACTGGCTGTTACATTGATGAAGGATTTGTACGAGCAAAAGGTCTCAATCTTGAACCACTCCCTCGACCCATCCCAGTCTATAATGCGGATGGCTCGCATAATGAAGGAGGTCCAATTCGATCGGTGGCAAAGATGCATCTTCAAATACAAGACCATGTCAAAGTTTTTAACTTTGCAGTAACAAACACCGGCAAGACAGATCTTATTATTGGCTATGACTGGCTCCGCAAACATAATCCTTCCATTGACTGGCATGCTGGCAGTATCACCTTTAATCATTGTCCACTTACATGTCATGCCATGCTCAGAGAGAGATCGTCACATGAACCAGAGGAAGAACCAAAAGGAGAACAACAGAAAGCTGTAAGGGTAGAAGAAGGAGACCGTATTTTTGTCACAAAGTTTATGAGTGAAGGGGTTGAAGAGTGGCATTATTGGGAGCGCTTGAAGGAGCAGATGAAGATACGAGCTGTAGAAACTCATTCACAAAAGTTAGCAGAGGAAGCATTGAAGACAGGGAGAAAGATGTCATTGGAAGAACTTCTCCCAAAGTACCTTGAAGATTTTATGCCAGTGTTCAAAAAGGCTTCATTCAATCAGCTTCCAGAGCGACATCAGTGGGATCATGCCATTAAACTAAAGCCAGAAGTTGAATCCTTCAACAGTAAAATTTATCCACTGAGCCTTGCCAAGCAAGCAGAATTGGACACATTTATTGAAGAACATCTACATTCTGGACGAATATGGCCTTCAAAATCCCCTATCGCATCACCATTCTTCTTCATTAAGAAGAAAGATGGTTCCTTACGGCCTGTTCAAGACTATCGCAAATTAAACACAGTGACCATCAAAAACCAATATCCTTTACCTCTAATTTCTGAAGTTGTACACAAGCTTCGTGATGTGCACTATTTCACCAAGCTAGATGTCCGTTGGGGGTACAACAACATTTGTATTCAAGAAGGAGACAAATGGAAGACTGCATTCACAACTAATCGAGGTATTTATGAACCTTGAGTCATGTTCTTTGGCCTCATCAATTCTCCTGCTACCTTTTAAACGATGATGAACGATCTGTTTCATGGACTCATTAGCCATGGGGTAGTAATTGTATGCATGGATGACATCCTCATCTTTACCAAGTCGGTCGAAGAACATCGGTGAGTTACTCACAAAGTCCTTCAAATCCTCCGCGACAATCACCTATATCTCAAGGCTGAGAAATGTGCTTTCGAACAGATGGAAATCGACTATCTGGGTCTTGTTATTCGACATGGCGAAGTTTCTATGGATCCAGTAAAGGTGAAGGGAGTACAAGAATGGCCTTGACCTACCATGAAACACAAACTTCAACAATTCCTAGGCTTCATCAATTATTATTGATGTTTCATTCAAGGTTTCGCTCACATTGCTCACCCTCTACACCGATTGACGGGAAAGGAACTATGGCATTGGGGAGTAAAGGAAGAAAGGGCTTTTAAGAGTCTAAAAGTTGCCATTACAATGGCACTGGTGCTTATGATGCCAAAGGATGATGCACCTTTCCGAGTAGAGGCAGATAGTTCCGATTATGCCACAGGAGCTGTCTTATCTCAACTTCAAGACGACGGCAAATGGCACCCTATTGCGTTTAGCTCATGCGCATTATCAGATGTCAAACGCAATTACGACATCCACGACAAAGAGCTCCTTGCAGTTATGCGGTCCCTGGATGAATGGCAGCACTATCTCATGGGTGTGCAGCATACTTTCAAAATTCTGACCGACCATAAGAACCTGGAGTATTTCACATTGGCCAAGAAACTTAACTGTCATCAAGCACGTTGGGCTTTGCAACTTGCAGAATATGATTTCCAGCTAATTCATAAGCCAGGAAAAAGCCATGGGAAACCTGATGCCCTCTCGAGACGATTGGACCATGGAAAGGGGGAGGGAGATAATGAGGATTGAGTTTTGTTGAAAGAGGAATGGTTTAGAGCTGTTTCGATGGAAGTAGAAATGGAGGGAGACAACATGAGAATGGATTGAGTTTGTGGAAGAACCATGTCTATGTGCCCAATGAGCAGACTCTCCAGGAACGAATAATTCACATTCATCACGACTTACCTGTGTCTGGCCATCCAGGACGTTTCAAAACTGCAGAACTAATTCTGCAGACATATTGGTGGCCCTGAATCCATATGGATGTAGCGCGCTATGTGAGTGGTTGTGAAAGGTGTCAGCGAACTACAACCTTTCCTACCAAACCGTTCGGATTACTCGCACCTAACCCAATACCAGACCATAATTGGCAGTTTGTATTGGTGGACCTTATTACACAGCTTCCCCGCAGTAAAGGGAACAATGCTATTCTTGTTGTCGTGGACCGGTTGTCCAAGATGATACGTCTGGCACCAACCAATGGAGAACTTTTATCAGAAGGACTTGCACATTTGTACTGTGATCGAGTATGGCAGGACTTCGGCATCCCAGAATGAGTTATCAGCAACCGTGGATCCCAGTTTGTATCCAACTTCATGCGCGACTTGAATCAGCTTCTTGGAATTCAAACCAACTTATCCACTGCTTATCACTCACAAACGGACGGTCAGACAGAACAAATCAATCAAGAGGTAGAACAATACCTCCGCCTATTCACCAATTACGGTCAAAATGACTGGGCAGAATGGTTACCTCTCGCTCAATTTAGTTATAACGACAAGATCCAATCCTCTACCGGGTACTCACCCTTTTTCCTAAATTATGGACGTCATCCTCGTAAAGGTATCGAGCCCCGAACTAGTGTCAGGGCGGAGAGCACAGATGTCTTCGCCTCACGCATGCATAACCTCACTCAAGAAGCTACTACAGCATTAGCACGAGTGGCAGAGGACATGAAGTGTTATTATGACAAACATCATTGTGAGGCTCCAGACTATCAACCTGGGGATTTGGTTTACTTGGAGGCAACCAACTTGAGATCTGATCGTCCCTCAAAGAAACTAGATGATCATTGTTTCGGCTCATTCAAAGTTCTGAAGAAAGTTGGAGAACACGCATATAAACTGGACCTACCACGTACCTGGAAAAGAATCCATCCTGTCTTCCATACCACCCTCCTCCGCTCCTACAAACTACCAGTTTCTTCATTACAACAATGACCGCCGCCACTGCTGCCAATAGATCTTGGAGGGACACTGGAATACGAAGTCGAAGAAATCTTGGATAGTTGAGAAAGATGAGGAAAAAGGGAATTTCTGGTAAAGTGGAGAGGACAGCCAAGAGAGGAGAGTACTTGGGAACCAGAGCAAAATTTGAAGAATGAGTTCGGAATGAACGAAGCCTTTCAAAAGTTTCTGACACATGACTGAGAGCGCCTCAAGATATGCATTCCGTGTCAAGCAGAGTGGAGATACGCAATGCCCCTAGGAATTTATGACTGGAGGATAGGGACATTCAGAAGAATCGTCGATGAAGACATCAACCTTGGGAGAGGGTAATGTGATGAAAAGAATGGTCCGACCATTTCCGGGACTAGCAGACTTCTAACTTGCATGTAGCTTTACTTGAGCGGCTTGCTTCTTATTTAGATCATCAAACTCTTCTTTCAACTTCCTCTTGAACGCCGTCCAGCTTGCGAATGTAACAGTTCCCTCTCTCAGCTGCTTTGTAATGTTGGTCGCCCAAGTTCCTGCAAAGCCTTTTTTCATAAAGGATAAGGCAGTGACAATCTTCATCTGGTCGTTAACATAGACGGCCAGTTTGGCAGAGAACAATAAATAGAGCTGGCTCATAAAAGGATCAAAGGTGTCGTATTTTCTGTCATAGACATCAGGCTCTGCGACTGATGCCTTGGGAGGTGCCGCAGGCTGTGTCTGTGGTGCTGATGCTGGTTGATTTAAAATTTGAGTCACCGCTTGTCCGAAATCTTGTTGTCCTTGTACGAGCTGCGCAAGGAGTTGGAACAAGGCTGGTGTGTCTCCATTATTAGGAGCGGCCATATTCTGGTCGGTGTCAAGTGAATTGGTGGTAGATGACATGATAGGGGTCGACAAATAAAATGGGTTTTTGACCTAATGTCAGCAACACCCTAAGTTGGTTGTTATAGCTCTGATGATGATCCCGTAGATGGGAACAAGATATATCGCTGGTTACAAGACTGCGATGGTAGAATAAACAAGGTCAAAAACAGAAGACATAACTATCGACGAGCGCAAGATAACTCAAGTTAGAAGTCCGCTAGTCCTGGAAACGGTCGGACCATTCGTTTCATCACAAGGTCTCAAATACAGTACACTTCAACCTTGTACATAAGTGAATGGTGGCCAGATGGCTCTTTTGAATCTTTGCATTGAATCCCAGCCTTTACAGATGTGTATTCTTCCTCATTCCACAGGTCATTAGGATCAAACTTGAAAGTTTGATGTGTAATCTGCTCTTCTTCTTCATATGAAGCAAGTGTTTGGGAATGCAAGCTACAATGTGAAAGTACACATGAGTCAATGTCAAGGTGCGATCTCATAAAATAAAAATGTTATCACTGGCAGGTTTCAAACCTGCGCAGTTCAAGAGAAACAGATTTTGACTCTGATGATCGCTTGACAATTTCATATTTAGCAGGTTTTGAATCCACGCGGACAGATTTGGATTCTGTCGCATCAACTGCTTGGCTAAGGCCAGTTAGATGCGCTCCTAATGAATGCATCCAGAAGTGGATCCTCGATGTACATTTATCTGCATTTTGTCAGCTCTAACATTAATTTCTAACATCCTCCTTGAGTCCAATTATATGTGATCCTTCATGCTATTGAAAGAACTGCCTTTAGGATTCACTTGCGAATGGGTCCATTGGAAGTGCATCTCACTGGTCTTAGCCAAGCAGTTGATGCAACAGAATCTAAATCTGTCTGCGTGTGTTCAAAACCTGCGAAAGATGAAATTATCAAGTGATCACCAGAGTCAAAATCTGTTTCTCTTGGAACGTGCAGGTTTGAAACCTGCCAATGATGAAATTTATTTTCCATGAAAACACATCTTGACATTGCCTCATGAATGATTTTCTCTACAACTCATCTCAACTGATGTTAGCCATGTCATTGCTGCAATAGATTCAAAATCTGTTTCCATTGAAGTCTACAGGTTTGAAGCCTGTTGAGTGACACATTTTTTGTATTAGAACATGTCTTGGATATCTGCTCATGTACAGCATTTCAAATGTTGATCTTCATTGGTCTTAGTCAAGTTGTCACCAGAGTCAAAATCTGTTTCTCTTGAACTGTGCAGGTTTGAAACCTACCAACAATAACATTTTTATTTTTATTCTATGAAATCACACCTTCACATTTCTACATGAATCTTAAAATAAATTGGAAGGCCTCAATTTTCTGGTGGCATTATCACTTTCTTGGAAGAGAAACCAAAAAAAATTCAAAGCTGGTGTATGAAACCATGTTCCACTGCTAGCCTTGCAGCAACTTGTTTTATGATCCACGCCAACTGTTGAAAATTGTCCGAGTCACTCTCTATCAATGATATCAGAGACTGTCTATGATTCAATATTCAAGGCATGTTCTAATAGAAAAAATGCAGCGTTCAATGGGTTTCAGACTGTCAAGGTGCATTTTCATAAAATAAAAATGTTATCATCAGCAGGTTTCAAACCTGCACAGTCCAAGAGAAACAGATTTTGACTCTGATGATCACTTGACAATTTCATCTTTAGCGGGTTTTGAACCCACGCAGACAGATTTAGATTCTGTTGTATCAACTGCTTGGCCAAGACCAGTTAGATTCACTTCCAATGAACCCATTCAAAAGTGAGTACTCAAGGTACATTTATCTGCATTTTATCAGCTCTTTCAATAGCATGGTCAGTGTTGATTTTTTATCCTACTCTTATTGCAAAAGACACAGACTTCCTGCTGGGGCTCTTGACTTCAAGACCTGTTTATCTAACAATTTCCCTGAAAAAGTGCTGATGGAAGACCACCACGGTGGGTCCATGAGTGAAAACTGACAATGAAAGGATCACAGCAGTGTATTTTTGACACAGAGTTCAATGTATGACCAAAGTCCTGATGCAAACTCAGAAGGATAAGTACAATAACAATATAATTCTTTCTAAAGGTCTTGACTTGGTTGAAGAAGAAAAAGAGCAGATTACACATCAAACTTTCAAGTTTGATCCTAATAACCTGGGGAATTAGGAAAAACACAGATCTATTAAGGCTGAGATTCTTTATTGTGCTTATTCAAGCGATTGCCAGAATCGAAATATATTTCTCTTGAACTAAGCAGGTTTGTAATCTATATGGAGATGTGTCTTTTGCATTGACTCGTGATTCATCACATTCCACCATTTTGGATTTCATAGAATAAAAATGTTGTTATTGGCAGGTTTTAAACCTGCACAGTTGAAGAGAAACAGATTTTAAATCTGGTGACAACTTGACCAAGACCAATGAAGATCAATTTCTGAGATGCTGTCTATGAGCAAATATTCAAGACACTTTCTTAGAGAAAAAATGCAACATTAGACAAGTTTCAAACTTGTTGCACTCTGATGGAAACAGATTTTGATTCTGTTATGACAGCCACTTAGCTAAACACAGCTGTGATCAGCTTGCAAGCAAACCGACCATGAGCAAATTTTTCAAGGTGTGTTTTCATAGAAAATAAAATTTATCACTGGCAGGTTTCAAACCTGCGCAGTCCAAGAGAAACAGATTTTGACTCTGATGATCACTTGGCAAATTCATCTTTAGCAGGTTTTGAACCCACGCAGACAGATTTAGATTCTGTCGTATCAACTGCTTGGCTAATACCAGTTGAATGTGCTCCCAATGAACCCATTCAGAAGCGACTTACATACTTTTGCCTATTTGCTATGCTTCTGACTTGCTTCTGCACACTGAGAACACACTTAGAATTACTTACATAGCACCATGTATCTTTTGACTCTGAACAACTTTCCACCACCATCTTGCATATTGTGGGACTCAAAGTATAAAATACGCTATAACTGTTATTTGACACTGAGCGCTTGAAAGCATCTAAGGGCAGAATGTTGCACTATTGTCTAAACACTTCTGCTTTATCTACAACTTCCTCAGGTCATTAGAATCAAACTGGAAAATTTGATGTGTAATCTGCTCTTTTTCTTCAACCAAGTTGAGACCTTTAAAGAGAATTAAATTGTTCTTGTACTCATCATTCCGAGTTTGCATCAAGACTGTGGTCATACATTGAACTTTGTGCCTTGAGGGTTCACTTCTGAATGAAGTTCATATGGAAGTGCATATCACTGGTCTTAGCCAAGCAGTCGATACAACAGAATCTAAATCTGTCTGTGTGGGTTCAAAACCTACCAAATGTTAAATAGCCAAGTGATCGCCAGAGTCAAAATCTGTTTCTCTTGGACCGTGCAGGTTTGAAGCCTGCCAAGGATAATTCTTATTTTCTATAAAAATGCACCTTGATATATGCTCATGGTTGGTTTACTCAAATGCTCATCAGAGTTGTGTTTAGCCAAGTGGTTGTCATCACAGAGTCCAAATCTGTTTCCATTGGAATTCAACAGGTTTGAAACCTGTTGAATGTCACATTTTTTTCTATTAGAACATGTCTTGAATATTTCCTCATAGACAGCATCTCAGACACTGATCTATATGTTTTTTTTTTCCTGTTAGAACACACCTCGAAATGGACTCATGTGTACTTTCCTGAGAGTGTCATCTCACTGGTTGTATGATTTCATAAAATAAAAATGTTATCACCGGCAGGTTTCAAACCTGCACAGTCCAAGAGAAACAGATTTTGATTCTGATGATCACTTGCAATTTCATCCTTAGCGGGTTTTGAACCCACGCAGACAGATTTGGATTCTGTCATATCAACTGCTTAGCTAAGACCAGTTAGATGCACAACCAATGAGCCCATTCAGAAGTGAATCCTCAAGGTACGTTTGTCTGCATTTTGTCAGTTCTAGTATTAGTTTCCAATATCCTCCTTGAGTCCAATCATATGTGATCCTTCCATTGTCGGTTTTCACTCATGATCCAGCTGTTAATATCCCAAGACATCACAAACATCATTGGCCCACTATGGCGGTCTGTCATCAGCACTTTTCAGAGCAATTGCTAGATAAACAGGTCTTGAAGTCAAGAGCCCCAGAAGAAGTCTGATGTCTTTTGCAATAAGAGTAAAATAAATAAAATCAATCATGACAACCATACTATTGAAAGAACTGCCTTGAGGATTCACTTTTGATTGGGTTCATTGCAAGTGCATTCAACCGGTATTAGCCAAGCAGTCGATATGACAGAATCTAAATCTGTCTGCGTGGGTTCAAAACCTGCTAAAGATGAATTTGCCAAGTGATCATCAGAGTCAAAATCTGTTTCTCTTGGACTGTGCAGGTTCAAAACCTGTCAATGATAAATTTTATTTTCTATAAAAACACACCTGGTTTTCTGAGAAACTCATGTCATTGCCACGACTCTGGTCTGCACGCTTTTTGAACTCTACACACTCTGAAGGTCTGTCTTTGTCGATCCTAAATCCCTCTGAGTAATCATTTGCCCATGGACATTTTCTATATCTATTTCTGTTAAACCAAGCAGGCTTAAAACCTGTATAATAACATGGTTTTTCTTTTGCCATTAAAACTTGCCTTAAATTCAAGCTCATGAGTCATTGCATCCCACTATTTTGTGTGGTGGTCAAATGCAGATAAATGTGCGTTGAGGGTTCACATCTGATTGAGTCCATTGGAAGTGCATCTCACTGGTCTTAGCCAAGCAGTTGTTACAACAGAATCTAAATCCTGTCTGCGTGGGTTCAAAACCTACCAAGGATCAAATTGCCAAGTGATTACCAGAGTCAAAATCTGTTTCTCTTGGAATGTGCGAGTTTAAAACCTGCCGATGATGACATTTTTATTCTATGAAATCGCACCTTGACATTTCCTCATGATTGATATATGTTTTTGTTCTGAGCGGGTTTGAAACCTATATGATTACATCTTTTTTTTCATTGAAATATACATTGAACATCTGCTCATGAAAGGTTGTCTCAAAAACTCATCATAACCAGTCTCAGCCAAGTGGTTGTTACAACAGATTCAAAGTCTGTTTATCTTGGATCGTGCATGCTTGAAATATGCTGAGTGATACATGTTTTTGACCTGCTCAGTCCAGGAAAATCAGATTTTGACTTTTATAACTCCTGAACTAGGACTGATTGCAAACCTGTAGGCTTTGATTGAAACATATTTTGAATATATTGTGGCAATGATGTGGAAAAGAGCATTTATGATGGGTTTTGAAGAAAACTATCCATGAGAAAATATCATCATCGGCAGGTTGAGTGACAACTGACAATGGAAGGATTGCATATGGTTGGGCTCAAGGGGGATGTTAGAAATTAATGTTAAAACTGACAAAATGCAGGATAGATGGATGTACCTTGGGGATTCACTTCTGAATGGATTCATTGGGAGTGCATCTAACTGGTCTTAGCCAAGCAGTTAATATGACAGAATCCAAATCTGTCTGTGCAGGTTCAAAACCTGTCAAAGATGAAATTGCAAGTGATCATCAGAGTCAAAATCTGTTTCTCTTGGACCGGGCAGGTTTGAAACCTGCCAATTATGACATTTTTATTTTATGAAATCACACCCTGTCCCATACCAAGCACTGCATTTTTGTGCGCGCCCTACATTACATGTCCATATATTGTCCAATCCAATACTGCTAGTATATTTTCATCATTTTATTTTTCATGTCATGCTGAAGGATACTCCCAGCTACAGACCACAATGTACAGATGCAAGAGAAGCATTCTTGCTACATTCTGCTGCAAAACTAGTACAAAGCAGTAACACCTGGGCCGCATTGAAAAAGATAAAACAGACACAAATGATATCACTTTGATGAATACTTCAAAATGTCCAACTGTCCCTATTTTCTTGCACTTGTGTCTCTGAGAATCTATACACTGCAAAATATAAATATTTTGCAAGAAGGTTTTGAACCTGCATGGTTTGAAAGAAACAGATTTTGACTCTATTGCAACATCTACTTGGCTAGGACTAGTGATATATGAACCTATAGTAAAGCAATAGGATGCTGAGGGATACTGCATCATTAGCCTCTACGAGGCTACAAAGACTTTCAGTCCTACATCGGACGGTACTTCACTTCCCTTGCTATGAGTCATAGTTAGTAGAGTTCCTTTCAGATATTAGTACTTCGCACAATTGATCTTTAGTTCATTCAGAATGATTGTTTGGCCTGACCATTGCCATTTTGCTTATTGATATCCTTAAGTCTTTTGACAGACTTTGCATAGTTATACTACATAAGTTCTATACTTTGACAAACTGCCATATTCCTCACTGGAAACCTTGTTGTTTCACCAGAAGCTCACTGGAAGCTTTGCACAACCTCGGACCTTCATTTCTTGATGTTGGACCTCAACCGGACACATCAGTCCAACACTTCAGACAATTCAGACAATTCTTTGGAACTCTGAACATGCTTAAGGTATCTTTTCCTTCTCTCACCTTTGATTTTAACAAGATATCCCTTGCATTTTATATCAAGAGATAATCCTACAGGCAGTCTCTTGGGACGAACTTTTCACTCACACATTGAGTCTTAAGGTAACACCTTTGTATAGCCCACCAGGAACCAACTCTCTACAACTGGAGCCCACCATGAGGGACTCCATTAAGATTGGAGAAAGACGGCTTCAGAGAAATCCTCGCTGCATTCTGCAGAACATCAAATTCCCAAGAGAAGACTTCATCATCAAAGCTGACATCCCTGGACCATCGGAACTCCCTTCTCATGCATCTTCTGAATTCTCTGTTTTACAGCAACTCTCCCCAAATACACCTGACTCTACACTACTCCCCAAAACTCAGGAAGGAGAAGACACAAATCCTTCCAACACCCATGCCAAACAGGCACTTTGTTCCTTATTTTCAGATAGTCTGTTATCAGAAACCCACAACACACTCTCCTCAGTGTTTCCCCATGCTCCCTCACTGGATAACCCATTCCTAGGCATAACACTGTTACTTCTTGCACCCTCACCCAGACAACGTGTTGCTGCACTCCCTTCATTTTCTGGACCCAGATTATCTGCTCTTCAGATTCCATCACTTTCCACAACTCCACTACAAGTTCTGCTGACCACATCAATTTCATCACCACCTCCAAAACTCACACTAGTACAAATGTTTTCATCAATATTCAGAATGCCTCTCTGTGGCACCGACACCGCTCCCAAGTTTGATGGCACCACAACTCGTCTCCTCGCATACTTAGAGGATGTTGCTCTGCTCAGCAATCATGCTGGTCTAATGGATGAAGCGTGCATCAAGGCCATCTGTTATGCTCCCATTGAAGAATCTGAGACATGGGAAATGCTCAACAAAGCTGACAGCAATGATTGGAAAAAGTTTTACAATGCACTTAAACTCCTGTACCCAGGATGTGAAGGTGACTGTCACTATACTTGGAACGACCTAGAAAACCTCTGTATGGAACAGTCACATATCCCTATCTGCACGCTCGACAAATTCAGAATGTATTATTGGAGCTTCCTGAAGATCTCCAAGTTCCTGATGACAAAGAAGAAACTTGCCAGCTCAAATGTGACAAATTGTTCCTAGACAGTATTCATGAGGCCGCTAACACTATCATTCACAGGCACTTGGAAATCAAAATGGTAGATCATCATCCTGACAAACCATACCCAATGGATAAGGTATATACCGCAGCCATATTCCTGCTACCTGGAACTGCGGCAGTCGCTTCAACTAGTATCGCATCTTCTTCGCCAGCTTAGCCAACCTATAGAACAGTTACTGCATCAGTTCTGGTCACGCAACCTTCCATAACAGTGATGCAGCCATCCGGCAGCATCATAGTCAAAAAGGAGTATAACTTGCAAAGTACGCCATATAAATGCTACTTCTGCAGAGGTAAAAGCCATATCGTGAGATGGTGCAATAGTCACCACGAATATATTACAAGTGGAAAGATCATCAAGAATGAGGGTAAGGTATACATGCCTGATGGTAGCAGAATCCCCAGATCTCGGGAAGATGGTCCCTTCAAAGACCAGATTGATAAATATGCAGGTCAGACACCAGCAACTGGAGCTAACACTATTCAGGTACAAGCCAAAGTGTACTACTGTGCCACACTGGATACCAAAGTCATCGCGGAAATCAACTCATCGGCATTTCTGCACACCTGTAGTGAGACCATAGATGATGAAGAGGAACAGGAACACCTGGAGAAGATCCAGCAAGTCAATGAGGAGTATGCAGCATTCACCGCCAAACAAGCGAGAAGATCAAACAAGGGTAAGACCGCTAGATTCGAAGGTGTTGATGTACTACTGCATCCGAAACCAGGACCTTCATCCAAAGTCATAGAACAAGCAGAGGAAATCATATCTCCGGAGGTAAGGGAAGCAAAGGCCAAGAAAGCACTGAATCCTGGAATGGTAGTTGTGAAACCGGCAGCCAAACCATCCAATGCCAACCCAGTTGTTCTGGTCGCATCATCTTCGACAACCCCAGCCCCGCAATACCACTACACGTTTCCACTAGAAGACAAGGACACCAAGAAATGTGTTATGGACAGAATCCTGAACACAAATGTTAATATCCCCATCCAGGACCTCATTGCATCATTGTCAGACATCCGGAAAGCGTTAAACGATCTCACCATGTCAAAACGAGTCACAGTTGGTATGGTATCAGTAAATGAACTCAGTGGTCACCCCCAGACAGAGCAATTCCTGAAGGGATGGGATGAACATATGAAGAGAGCTAATGACGGATGCATTGTCGCCGACCACTTTAAGTTGTTGCGAACCATCCAAGGCACTACAACTGGAGGCCGGTGTAGAGACTAATATCTCTGTGGGCTTGCAAGGATCTAAATTCCCAATGTTCCAATCACTTCCTAATATAGTGTGACCCATATCTTACCCAGTGCACTTGAGTGCTTCATTGCCCACTCGCGCGCATGAGCGCTTCAGTCACGCATTGATGTGCACATCCTTGGTTCCATTGCTCGTCCTCCGTCCATTCATTCCATGTCTGTTCGGTTTGTCGGTGCGTATTCCCATTGTATTCCCATTTATTCTGACATATATCCAGCACTTATGGACATATTCCATATGTTTTGTCATGAACCCTTACATTACATATTATCTCGTATCTGCTTCACTTCTCGGTTCGCTTTAGCACCCGACAGCGCTTAACACTACTTAGTATATATACTCATGCCTATATTGTATAATGATCATCTTTTTGCACGCACACTGTTGGACTCTAAGTCTAAGTTCTTCGTCATATCTACCAACCGACAATAAGTATCTAAGTACAATATGAGCACCACCACCGTACATTACTAGAAACTCTGTCAATTTGTTTCCCGACTCATTAAGGGTCGCTCCGCTCCACCACCCGCACACACGTTACCATTCATAGTCACACATCGTCACACATTGTCGCTTGTCATTGCTCACTAGCGCTTCACATCGCTCGTGCTGAAGGTTCAACAATACTGTGAGACACGAATGAGGCTCCTGACTGTATCTGTAAATGTTGTAAGGTCATGTGTTGCCTAGTCTGCTATACTTGAGACGACAAGTGCGTTCGACCCTAAAGGGGAAGCGAGTGCAGCAAGGATCTAGTAATAGGTGCTGAAGGCGCTACTGGTCGGCCAATGTGAAGTGTGAGAAAGTGCAGGTGTGCACCAGGCGAGAAGGCACAGGAATGCGCGAAGCGCGGGAAAGTGTGCGTGTGTGTGTGGAAACAAAAGAGACTAAGAGTGAGTTTGCTTAAGTGATGATATGATGCGAGACAAGAGATGGGAGTGCGAGGTGAGATAAATGGATGTCAGAGAATAGATTGCTACTGCGACCTTCAGTTGGTAAGTTAGAAAGGTAGAAAGGTAAAGTGGGTAACAGTATGTAATGCTGGCGCTTAAGTATGGTGCCTAAGCGCTGTCATGCAGAGCCAAAGCACTACTGAGTAAGGTATGTAAAGATATATGTAAGTAAGGGTCCATGATAAAAATAAAGGTGGAACGATATGCAAATAAGGGAAATGGAAATATATGCACTAGTGGACTTGATGGACAGTGGATGGATGTGTCTGGATGGCTGGCACTATAGGGCGCTCAAGCATGGGAAAGCGCGCGCGCATGTACGTCGTGAAGTGTGGGAAGTCACGCGCGCATTGCACAGGAAAGCTGCACCTCTTATAGGAATATCTGCGGAAAGCATACAGAGTGATGCCACAAGTTCGTGCTGTGTACTCCCTAGTGAAAACTGCCATATCGCACAATGAGAGGCACAAGTCTCTACAGTGTGCCTTACCAGGCTTGACCAAGCGCCCGGTCCAGTGTTTCCCTCCATATACAAACTTAGAGGAACCTTCTCAGTAGCAATCCCCTTGGGCTGACACATAGCTTGCTCATCGAGGACTACTAGAGTATATCTCATAGCACCCATATATCTACACTACCAATTTCTCTTCTACAACGTGTCCATAGGGTCGGACAAGTCTCATAGTGCTATCCGGATGACTTCCAGATATTGGAAACATGTATAAGGCTAATCCAGATGGATCCAGACTAGAAACAAACAGAGTATAGACTATCCAAAGATAGAGCCGGAAATGTAGACTATCGGAATCAATCTGAAGTCTCAGAGATTGACGAGAGTTGATTAGACTCAAGTCCAGAGGACAGAAAGAGGACAAACTAAGATGATATTCAAACTGAGGTACTACAGGACATATACATGGGTTTATATACTAAGAGGATAATGGAAGGATCAATAAGCAAAGGTCCGAGGCTATGTACAAAGCATATGCAAAGCTTATCAAATGTGAGTCGGAAATGAAGCATAGGTTAATGGATCAGTAATCATACCGGTAATAAGTATAACCGAGATACCGGGAACAGGAAATACGGAATAGGCTGTGTTTAACATTATATGAACAGGAAATGAATTAAGAAGCTTATCGGATATCAGATCGGAAGTGGATCTATGCATCGGACCAGATCAGATCTAAGGGTCCGAAGTTCGGAAGAGAAGCATGAATATATGGGATATGACAACTTGGCTAAATACAGCTCTGATCAGCTTGCAAGCTGACCAATCATAAGCATATGTCAAGATGTGCCTTCATAGAATACAAATTAAAATATTATCATTGGTAGGTTTCACACCTGCTAATTGCTAGTGAGTTATGATAGTAGACTCTATAAGCCTATAGGGACCTGGTTTCCTACACTACTTTATCTACTCTCTGCTTTCTCTGCTCCTTACTTACTCTACTCTTCACTCATTTGTTCATATTGTTTTGCCATTGTTCATTGTCATCTCACAGTCCTTACCACTGCTAGCACTTGTATTATTAATGTCTATATGTCATATTATTTACTTTATCTGAAATGCAGTATATTGTGATTATTATCTGAGTAAGTGCACCATAAGTATTACTACATTATATCACACTAGCTTAGATAATACCCACAATATACTGCATTTCAGACTTATAGTAATATTCTGGCCCAGCTTAGCTCAAAAGCTGCAGCTTTGGCCTAACTTGAGCTTGCAAAAAATCCAAATTGGGCCAAAGCCACTAGTGATGGCTGGCTTTGGTCTGGCTCTGGCCCAAGCCATAACTCAAGATGAGTTATGATGTGTAAATGTGGCAACTCACCATTTTTGGATATGGCTTAATATAAGGATGTAGTTAAATCCCTTGAGGGTAGCAACAAAAATTTCAAAGAGACAAGAATAGATATTGAGAAATCAAAGATTACTAATTGTGTTTATTAAGTACAAAAGCCTCAGCCTGGGCTGCTGGCTTTGGCTTTTCAGCACATCAGGTCTGGCCTATTTTGGCCCGGCCTACAGCCTGAAGCCAGGTCATGCACATCACTAGTATCACCAATTTCTGCTACTTGCAATACAGTACACTATCTCATAATGAATAGTGTTGGTCCCCAGGTTCTCTTGTTCATTATAAGGTTATATGCAGAACAATATTGTCACTCTGTGTAACACATTGTGACCTAGTGCTACCAAGTTGCACTAAATGCACAATCTATCTTTATATTAGTTAGGTATGCAATGCATATGTATGCTGAATGTTGACTATAAAATACTAGTATAACAATGTAGTGAAAATATCAGATATACAAGTGAAGAAACAGTGTTAGGTTGCTTGTTTACAAATCACAAAGTCAGTCTTCCTCAAATAAGCATGCAACTTTTAATGCTGATGTTGCAATTTTCTTGAGTCTTATGGTAGATGTTTTGGCAGAACCTAACCTGGGCCCTCACTTGATGGGACTGATGGTTTGAGAGCCTGGTTGTAAGGTTTATGTCCAGTGCAAGGCTCATGCACTTTCTGCATTGGTTGAGGTGACATGGATTAACTTCAAAGATGCAAATTAATTTGCACTGTCCTATGGCATAATAAAATTTTCAGCTTACAGCCATACTAACTAAGTTACTTAGCTAAACTGCCTATATAATAATGCATAACCCCCAAAAATCAATATTCATTATTAAATATGAGATTCTATGCATGATTTAGTGGCAACAAGCATTGTTCCTGTGTCCAGTCATTCATTATGAGGTAGTGTACTGTACTTGCAATGTAGGTCATTTTACCAATGAGTGAAAAATGATTACCAAAAAAGTCAAAACATAAGTTGGAAAAAGTTGAAGTCAAGAGGAGGCACTTACTTTTTGGACTTATAATTGCCTTGTGGCATGTTGACAGCAAGTTGCAAAAAAGAAAGTTCAAGAAATGTGTGAATTTACTGGTGTTCTTTAGGCAAATTGTGTAGGTAGTTGGGATTCATACTAGGAGACAGTGTCATATCCCATGTTTCGAACCCGGACCTATCACACAAACCATTTCCAAGTTTCCGGATCCAGCTGACTTCTATCTATTGTCCGGATCCGACCTGTGTCTAGCTTCTGTGCCTTATCCCTTTGTACATTCCCTCTAAAGTTAGATCATCTCATTTTCTGTACCTCATTTCATTTCCGCCTTTATTTTCCTATGTCTTCATCTCCAGTTTCATTTACTATTTTTTGATAGACTAGTGTTTGACTTTTCTATATACTTCGTCCACAGCCTCGCATAGCTTCAGACTGTGCTGGCTGATTCTCTGTTAAGTCCTCCATAGTATATAAACCCTGTAGAATCTTTGTACTACCTCAGTTTGAATATTATCTTAGACTCTGCTCATTCCCTCCTCCGTCCGACTTGAGTTATACTCTCGTCGACCTCCCCTAGTCTTAGGGTTGACTTATCACCTCCACCTCTACCTCTGGTAGTCCTCCGCTGTTTCCTTTCTAGTTTGGACATTGTCTGGATTAGTCTTATCACCTGTTCACGAACGTCCACCGGAATTCCCATGCATCAGACATCGTCCGACACTTCCGGACATTGTCCGACGCCCTTCGGACATTGTCCATTAGCCTTCGGATGTTAGGGGCACGTACTTGGGTAAGGGGCACAGTGCACAAGCTGAAGCCAAGCCCTTCAGATTTGACCCTTGAGCACAATCTTAACAGACAGCAAGAAGCCAAGTTATTGCCATACTGACAGTAATGCCCACTCTAGACCAAGAAGGGTACAATTGTGAGATGATGTCATTGATTTGCATGAGAAGGCAATTTCACATAATGATAATAGATCTGTAGTACTGTATACTAGTTGTGAGTTTGCCATTATGATGTGTGTAGTGTAGGATAGGGGGTACAATTCCAGAAGCAGATGTTATTTGCGGATGCTGACATAATGGTGTTTGGGCTAATCTGTGTTTTAGAGAGATTACAAATATTAATGGTGATGAATGAAGCAGTAACGATGGTGGCTCCTCCAAACCCCTTAAACATCATCACTGCCCTGACTAGTGCTTTTAAAAGCCAAAATGGCAAGGCAGCATCGAGCATGTGCATAGCCCAGCTCCTCAAGCAGAACATGGGCCAGCTTGGCAAGCTCATGCAGCAGGGCAAGCTTACTGCCATACAGATCCAGCAGGTCCATCTGCTTTTAAACCAAGTGAGATTTGTTTTATCTCACTTGGGCATCTTGTCTGTAGCTGAAAGATTAGTGCTGCCGGAGTCCAGTTCTGAACTTTGGTTTGAACCTGAACACTTCCAAACTGGACCATGTGTTTGGTCTGGGGTTCAGTATAATGTGAGAATTGAATCTATTATTAGGTTCGGGGTTCAGCTGATGCCTGAAAATACTGAACCCATCCGAACCCATTCGAACTGAGTGGGACTTCTGCAGATCATCCACTTGCCCTTATTGCTATTTATCTGTACTAGGACTGATAATCTTTCCTCTGGTTCTTGCATGCAGTTCACTAAAGATCTTGCACATCTGTTACCTCCTGACTCATGCGAGAAAGAGTTAGTTGTGATGGCTGATGTTTGAGCTTATTATCATGTTGCCTACAAGGTGAGTCTCATTTATTATCTGTGCTCCAACTTGTGTATCCTCCAAGCAGCACATTATTGGCCATATATTCTGAGTCCCCCATCAGCTCTCCTCAAATCCACCAACCATCCTTTTGTCTCATCCACAGTTGCCTTTAAATTATCGATCCTAAGATTCAGCACCTCAAGCACATCCAAACTCATAGGCAACCACTTTGGTATCTTTCCTCCCTTCACGACCTCATACACAGTCCACATGAACTTGTCTATGTCTTGTGTGACTCTTCTCAAAAGACCTCTCTTTCTGGTTCTTACAAAGACCGTGCAGATATGGGTGCTGGAGTGCGTGAGTACATTCCACGTGTGGTGTCCTCCAAATCGTACACATGAAATATTGACTTGCATAATGCTAATGCATTTGGCATCTGCATATGCCAGCCAACTTAGCTCACACCAAGCATGAATAATTCAAAGACCAAGACACCGAAATTGGAAGGCACATCACTCGTGTTACCACTTACTCTGATGTGCTGAAAATGTCACATGTATTTTTCCAGGATGACGCCCAAAATTTGTCATAGCATTTGATGAGCCCACCTTCTGAGCAGCATGAGTAACAAGGGTTTTGTTCATCCCATATTCTTGGCAGGACAATCAACGCCTACTGTTATAACAATGATGCATTAGTCTGGGTCATTTTGCATCTACAACTTCACAAGTGGCCAATTTTTCAGCTCCTCAGGTGATCAGTGCCTTCCTTAGGTGAAGGAAAAGTCAAGCTCACCTCCCAAAAGCGAACGAGATCAGTCGTGAGCTCACCCGCATTGAATGTGACTGGTCCACACTCATAATGCTCAAGCTCATGCAGAGCATCTTTTTGGACCTCCTCGAGTGCCTTAGTAGGAAGCAGGCAAGAACTTGTCAGCATATGCTCAAGCTTCAAGGTTGGATGGGACTTGTGGTTTCTGATGAGTGTGTATTAACTACACTTACTACTGCTTGTCTTACAAATGAGCCACAGATTTGAGCATGCTCCAATTCCTTCTACCACACAGCATGATGGGGTGGATACTATTGACACCGAGCCAGCGGCTATTCATGCTTATACATGTTAGATATACATGTATGTTTTTTGTTCTAATGATACTGAGTGCAGGCTACTGCAAGTTGATATGATTTTCATGTACTTATTGTAATTTTTATGAATTTATATGTGTTTGGGGTTCGAACACATCCTGAACTCAAACCAAATGCTTGTGAATGCATTCATAAGGGTCCGGTCCATTGTTTGCCCTCCTTTCCTGAACTGGACCATAGGTCCAGTTCAGGGTTCACATTTAGAGGCCTAAGAACCGGACCGAACCAGACTTTGGCAGCACTATGAAAGATTATGCTGAAAAACACAAGTTTACAACCAGTGCTGCTTTGGGAAGCAGAGCTGGCACTTCAACCACAAATGGCAGTACAAAGATATGACTTGATGCCATTGATGGGTAGGACCCTCCTTCATCTCATCCTGGTTGTGGTAAGCTGGGGCCACTGCAACAACTGCTACTGCTTTTAAAAATGGGTCACCGGCACCTCCTCTTACATCTATGCCTGGTGACAGGTATCCTATCAGCCAAACTCTCAACACCACCAATCTGGGGCCAGTTCAGTGGGCAGCTGCACAGCAAGGAAGACCAACACTTACAGGTGGAATGACTAGTGGCAGAGTGTCTGGTGAGTCATTTGCCGGGAAAGTAGTGGTCCTGTTTGAGTACTGATTTTGATTTATGTTACCAGGCACCCCTGCTCAGATTACATGATTCATGGATGATGCTGGTGTGCTCAGCTTAGAGGATAATCAACCACAGAGAAAGAATACCCCAGGAGATCAGAGCATGAGATAGTTAATACAAGACCTCATCTCAAGTGTTGATCCCAACATTTGAATCAAACCTGAGGTGGAGGATGTAAACCACTGCACTCAAATGCCTTGACATACTATCCCTCATTATATCATCTACAACTACTTCTTCAAATCACTGACATGTTCATCAACTCTGTCATGAACTTTAGTTGTCAACTAGCAAAGCATTGCAGCAATGACACGCTTAAAGTCAAAGACCTCTCTTCAAGTTCTTCTTCCTTATTCTTGTACCCATTGCTCTGTCTCTTAGAACACAACCACAATATTTGTATTCCTGGATTTGCATCAGACGACACATAAATAGCCTTATCTCAGGCTGCTGTAACACCTTCTGGGGCTACAGCAGCAGGAAAGAAAAAGACCCAGGGTACATCCATGACTTTATGCAGTCACCACTTGGCGCAGGTGCAACAAGCAAAGAGGGAGAGCAAACTTGCATCATGGTAGTGGATCACACTGGACATTCTCATTTTCTTTGCTCATACCTTTTTCTTTGCTTGTTCACACACTTGTAACTTATAAGTACTTCTGCATAGAGACTCATATCATAGTATCTCAAGATCTCACATCGACAAGGTGCTACTGGTATGTTAAAGTCCGGAGGCAGAAGAAGCCTGGGAGTGCCCCTCAAAGGCAATGAGGTTGTGCTACTCAAAAAGTCTTGCTCCACATAGGTGTGCCAGAGCAACAGCAATACCATCTTCGAGTCACATCAGGAAAAGTGCACATTACTTAAACATTTCTTAAAAAAACTTAGATGAGGCTGAGAGCAACTTAAGAATAAATTAAGTCAGAATGTGTTAAGATGGACTCTCTTAGAATAATTAGATCCAGATTCTTGATTTCTGACTTGATTAATTCTTAAGCATGCTTAAATGAAACTGGTAGATTGCAACAGACTCAAAGTGATGGTTAAGGGAGGAACAAGAAAGTCATGAAAACGGGCTCAAGAGCAACAAAAAGGCAATGAAAGGGTGATGTAAGTAACAAAAAAAATCACAATGGAGACAATTCTGCAGGAGTAGAAATTGGACTGAATGGTGGTGCTTCCAAGGGAAATGAAGTGCCAGGAGACAAATCTCGAATACTACTACATCATTCCTGTATAGCATTGTCAGCAGTACACATAGAATTAGTAACAAAAATTACCTTCACCGAAAGGCAAAGATATCAGCATACTCTTCGTCAATGTCCTCCTCAACATCCATCTTTGACTGTCCACCATGAGAGGTGGTTACTTTCATGTATTATTGCACTTGTTTGATGATGGCCTTCATGTTGCTTGCAGGGATGCGATTGATGGCCTGCAAAAACATTGATGTGTCGTATCCCCACAGTGGCTCTGAGAAAGTTTTGTTTTCGCTGATCACGGCAGTCCACTGCTCCCCATTGGTAGCTGGAGCCTTACCCTTCCATGGGTTCTTCTTCTTACTACCCTTGGCGATGGTGGACTTGACCTCAAAACTCATCTGTTTGGTTGACAGAAGATGAAGAGCGTGCTTGACCTAAGTAAAATTAGTGTGAAGCTTAATATTAGTCCTGAAAATAATTACCACCACTCCAGAGAGTGCAAGAGCAGTTTGACAGGACTGTTCCTCACTCTGAAGTGACGGAACAGAGACACGGTGTAAAGATACAACAATTGCTGAATACTATACGAAATAAGTAATCAGCAATATAAAAATGTTGTGTGGTCTTGCACAGCCTAGTCTGCTATACTTGCTAGACAAGTGTGTTCGACCCGAGGGGTTTGCTATTGGAATAAGTCTGTAAATAGTCAATTGATGAACTGGCAAAAGTCCGAGCGCGGGAAACAGAATCCGAAGGTATAATTACGAGTCCGATGCCAAAGCATCGGCCGATGTTTTCGGGTTTAGCGGGTTTCGGGTGCAGGTTTGACGGGTTGGCGTCGGGTTACTAAAAGAACATCGGGTGAAGCGAGCGGTATGCGGATTATTAAGACTGCGGGTGTTTCGGATAGAAAGAGCGGTAATATTTCGCAATGTCAACTAAGAACTACAGAATATTGGGTTTGACCACTAAGCGTCAGGGAAATATCTCCCTACTACTTGGATGATAATATGCTATGTGGAAAACCAATATATATATAAGTACGTAGAAATCCGGAACCCTATAGGCAAAAGTAGTGGCCGATGATTTCGGATCCGAAGTACATGTAAATAAACATGAGGCGCTGCGGACGATGGGAAAACATGTAATAGCGCTGGCTACAACGTGAGTAATGTGAGAAATAATCAACTACGCACCTAGTGGGGCTAGCAGACAAGACAGGACACGGATAGGACAAGTGCGCGGGAAAAATGTCGGCCGACGCGGCCGATGCATCGGGTCCGCTGGTCAAAGTGTCGGGTTTCATCGGAAAGTGAATACTGTGTGACGGGCATTTGACACAATGCGTGAAATGGCTAAATACAAGCTCAGCGCTAGCTCGAGTGCTACAACGGCCTTATGTATAGTTGAGGTGTGCCACAAAGGTTTGCAAGACAAAGATGGACTGCCACATTCCTGTCCACAGCTCAATGTTGAAAGACGCGTTAGGATTCAATCACGACCAGATGAGAGATGATGCTAACCTTTTTGTCGTCTGATTTGACATTCGCAAAAAGCCACCTATTGTCATTGAGCCAGAAATCAGAAAAATCAGCACGGCTATCCTCATTATCATAAAGTGGGTCAGCCACTATGAAAGATGTGAACATCATCATGATGGCCGCAGAGCTGAATCCATCACACCATTCACTTAGGTGTTGCTTTGTCTGCATAAAATAATATGAATTAGTACCCAGGAAAATAGTTTGAGACTTAGACTTACAACTTGATAGACCACACTTCCAGGGACAATGGTGTGACCCATCAATGACTTTTCATTATAAATGACTGCCCAAACTTCCTCGAGGATCGGAATGAGAATGTTGTCTTCAATGAGCCATGGATCAATATTGTCTCCTCCAGTAGTGTGAGCAACAGTAGGAATGAAAATGCCATGCTATGTGTTGTTTTCGAGGCAACCAGCTGGAGGTCGCTATTCTTGTATTTTGCTCTTGTAACTTCTCCAGTGATGCCCTTTCCAGGCTTCTGTCCAGGTTCTGTTTTGACGCGCTTGGTAGGTGGAGCTGAGTCATTGGAATTGTTGTCAACAATGTCCACATTTGTCTAATGAGTCACCTGTTAGTACGACGTAGTACATCATTCATTCACATACCATCATCATTGTCCGTTTGTTTGCTTGAGCGGAATTGGAACTTTCTTCAATGACAAAATGATCCCCACCATTGTCACCTTTTCCCTCGGCCTCACCCTCACCCTTGCCTTTGGCTTCATCCTCTACATAATCCAAGAACATGATGTCTTCAGAAATTTTGCTAAGGTCCATAGTACTGTCCATGTGCTCCATTTTGACAGGTGCTTTGCAGAAGATGCATTGCGAAGGTGGAGGCGGTGGTGATGTGAGTGAACTGCTCCTAAGCTCGATGACATCCTATGAATCTATTAAAAACTGATCAGAGGCTAAGCAAAATACTCAACTGGCGCCACAACATTCCACAAACCACTAGGTTTCCTCATGCCTACAAGTGCATATGCTGCCATGCGCTCCGGATGATCCTCCTCATCTGGAAAGCATCCCTCTGAGAAGTTGTCACCTAAGACCAAGCTGGTTGGAGTCCCTGGTGGAGGAGTGGCATTGCTTGCAGCTGTTGTTGCCCTAGTGAGCTGTGAAAATGCTGTGCTGCTGGTGCACTGAGACATCACGAGGTTCTTTGGTGTCTTCATGGAGTGAGTGTTTTTTTTGAGGTTGATTTTGTAAACTTTCTGGGCCCATGTCATGACTCCGCCTGTGTACGCTTGCTTCAAATCACTGGTAAAGTCATTGAGTAGGTTCCAATAGAAGAGTGTAGGCTCAGTTAGTAGTAACATGGTGGTTAACAACAAAGGTACTTATGCTGCCATTTGTCCTTTTCCAATTAAGTCATGTGATGCACACAGACTTGACTTCGCATCAGATTTACCATTAGCATTTGATGGCTGGGAAGCAAGGACAGCACATGCTGCATTGACAGCATCACGGTGCATTGTCTTCTGTGCACATTTCCTCTTTCCTTGCATTGTCCCAATATCATTGTTGTCTTCATCAACTTCTACTGCAGCACTAGTCTGAGCCTGACCTCACAAAATGACTCCACCATCTGACACTAATGTTTGACTGGATTGATTGGCAGCCACACATCCAGCTTCAGAGGGAAGACTTGCTGAGGTTGCCTTTGCGCCATATGGAATGGGATGAGGACATGGTGTCTTTGGAGCTGAGGCATTACTCTGCTGAAGAGAGAGCTTTTCCTGTGCAGCAGCGACTCGTTCAATGCCCTTTTGGGTTTTCTCTTCCTTCTCTTGGTTAGCTTGCTGGATGTGAGCATTGTCTGCTTTGACCTGGGCTGAAGTGCGCCATTTCTGCTTGGTATCTAAGACCACCTGTGCAGGTCTTTTTGCAGCATTTGATGGATGTGTCAAGACCATACTGACCAAGAAGAGTGCAAGAAAAGCAGCAAGTGCAAGTTTTGAGAGCAAGACAAGACGAATGAAAATTGTTGCAGAATGGCATTTTTAATACTTTGTGGGTGGCAAACTATTATGTACTTTACTGCAAACTTCATCTGCTCAGAAAAAATGTGTCTCAAAATCCTCGCACAACATCTCCCGGACAAGAATTCATATCTCACTAGGCAGACATCCTATCAACCTTCATCGCATCATTCAGAATGCCACACAAATCTTCCACAATGCCAGATACGCCATCACCAAGTTATTCGACATTGACATCTCCAATGTCAATGGCATCACCCCCAACATCCCTACCTATCAACCTTCATTGCATTATTCAGAACACCACCCAAATCTTCCACAACACTGGATACACCATCACCAAGTTATTCAACATTGATGTCTCCAGCATCAACAGCATCACCCCCAACATCCCTACCCATCAACCTTCATCACATTATTCAGAACACCACCCAAATCTTCCACAACACCAGATACACCATCACCAAGTTATTCAACATTGCCATCTCCAGCATCAATGGCATCATCCCCAATACCCCTGCCCATCAACCTTCATCGCATTATTCAGAACACCACACAAATCTTCCACAATGCCAGATACACCATCACCAAGTTATTCAACATCAATGTCTCCAGTGTCAATGGCATCACCCCCAATACCCCCAGGTATGGAGGACTGTACTGCATGCACTGTCTCAGCTGAGTTCGTCATTCCAGCTGTACCTACCATGTACCTTACAAGTAGTGGTGCTCATAACTCTCACCATCCCAAATGCAAAACATTCAATGTTAACCTAATTCCATGCCCGCATCCTGGTTGCTCCTGCACTTTCAAGAATAGATCTGGGCTCACACAACACCGGCACACAATCCATAGTTTCTCATTTGAAATGCCAAGGGAAGCTCCTCTGAGTGAACCACATGAAGACACCAATTGTTGGCAGCCCGCAAATGATGGTGATATTGAGATGGATGATCAACCTGTTGGTGGTGAGACAAATAACAAAACTTTGAACAGCACACATTGTGACTATCATCTTCAACTAGACAGTCTGTTCTTGACTTAGGACATGTTGTTCTGACACTAATTTTTTTATAGCTCGTATATGTGATGAAGTGGGAAATTTTATTCACCCAAATACACCTCCACCTCCCTACACCTCTCGGGCCCCAGACAACTGGACACCTTACCACAATCAAACCAAGTTCGAGACAGCCAAATTTCTCTATTCAAAAGTCCAAATGTCTGCAGGTGATATCGACAAACTTATGCAGTTGTGGGGCACTACACTTGCAAAACACAATGACGCCCCTCCATTTTCAGACCACTGTGATTTGTATTCGACTATCAACAACACACCAGTTGGAGACGTCCCATGGAAATGTTTTTCGATGAGATACAATGCTAAGGACAGTGATATGAACAAGAGTGCGCCATGGATGGACAAAACATACACCACATGGTTCCATGATCCACGCACTATAATACATAATGTGCTCGCCAATCCATATTTCATGGATGCAATGGACTATGTACCATACCGGGAGTTTGTTGGAGAGGGTGATGATGCAAAGCGCCAATGGCGCAATCCAATGTCAGATAATTGGGCATGGGACCAAGTGGTACGTTTGCTACCACAAACACTTCTGTTCAGCTCATGCATTATCATTTAGGATGAGATCGCAAAAGATCCCCATACACATGGTGCAACCTTTGTTCCTGTAATCCTTGGAAGTGACAAAACAACAGTTTCAGTAGCAACCGGACAGAACAATTACTACCCACTGTATGTTTCAATTGGCAATGTCCACAATGATATTTGTCATGCCCACTGAAATGCTGTCGCTCTTATTGGTTTCTTGGATATCCCAAAGAGTACATCTTTTTTCACAATCATACACCATTTAATGCTCATCATTTTAAACTTATAGCATCCAAAAAACATGCTGAGGACCCACACTTCCGAAAATTCAAGAAACAACTCTTCCATAGTTCATTGTCACGAATATTGTCATCACTCAACCCTGCAATGTCTGTTCCCAAGGTTACACATTTCGGAGACAGGCACTTTCACCGTGTGGTATATGGCCTAGGACCCTACATTGCTGATAGTGATGTGCTCGGCCCAGCTTCAGGCCATGGGCCAGGCCAAGCTGGGCCTGAATAGGCCAAGCTGAGCCGAGCCAAAGTCATGGCCTGGTGATGGCTTTGGCCTGGCCTGGGCTAATGAAAAGCCAAAGCCGCCGGCTCAGGCCACGGCTTAGTCAACTGTGCCTGCAGCACCCAAGCTCAAACTGTTTTACAATCATCAATCGAAAATCTGACCTTCTGTCTCATTTTAGCTTTTCGATCACTTACATTGTGTGCATGTTCATGTGGTAAGAATCACAGTGAGTCGCAGACATTCTTTTCAAGCTCGACACAACTCACTTGCCACAGTGTTGGCAGATAGCACACTCATCATTTTCAGTAATCTGCCCTCCTTTGCCAGTTTCTTGCGACTTCAAATCGCAAGCTTGGTGACAACCATCATATATGTTTTCAGTCAAAAGGCATGCATTTGTGATGGTAATTTTTATTTTTTATATCTGCCTCTCACCACTTGTCTCTGATGGTTGGAACTGTCCATACAGACAGCGACGACGAATGTTGTGCACGCTGGCCGGTCCGCCAAACCAAGCCTACCACCACCCTTCTCCAACATTCTGAGAAGATGGCTCTCCCATCACAAACCAAGGCTATCAATGCCTTTCGTGCAGCAGAGGCTGTGAAGTTGCCTGATACTCGACATGCTTCTAATGCTGGCGCTGATCAAGCCACCCCCAGCATATCGCTGAATTCACCTCCGGGTGACACTGCACCATCAGGTTCAAGCTCGGCTGCACTCGAAAAGGATAAGAGGACTCGCGTTGAAGAAGTTCTTGACGACAAGTCTGGTGGCAAGGAACATGAAGATGCACGCACCAATCCACGACGTAAGTGTATTTGCTATCTGAGTCATGAATCATACAACTGATACCAAACTTTTGGCAGAAAAACGGTTGTGCAAATTAGCTGCACCGGTTGATGATTTAGTCGACAATGATGGTATTCCGATCGATGTCGACGTCCAACCTATTGCAGACATGGCTCCTCCAACATGCAAAGGCAAAACTGCCGATCTCAATGCGTTTTTTGGTGCGATGTTCGATCATGCAGAAACTAATGGTAAGGTTAAAAAGCATCAAAAGTGCAAGATATGTTTGTAAGTCTATGAGGTCATGGTTGTGCTCGCTCACTCACACCAACTCAACAGGAAGCAATGTATTCTTGTGAATGAATCTACGACACTTCGTCGTCACGCCGAGGCTAATTTTGCGGTGCGTATTTTTGCGCATATGGTTCATTGTGCTTATATTAACGACTTGGATTACACTGTAGGGAAAGTATCGACAGTGGGCAAAGAAGCACTCTTTTGAGTCTATGCTACCTGGCGATATCAAAGCTCAGAAGGAGAAAGCCGAGCAGGTGCAGCAGACCATCAATTCGCACCTGACTGAACGCAAACTTGCTGAGTGAGTTATACCATACTCCGATAAGTTATTCAAACGAGCCGCGATCGAATGGTTAGTTGCAACAGACCAAGTATGTATGATTCCCTTGATATAATAGTTTGACCATTGACACACTTTAACCTAGCCTATCCAAGCCCTCGAGCACCCAAAGTTCTAAGACATGATCAATGTCACTTCATGGGCAACGAACGGAGTCAAGATCCCCAATCATAAAGCCACCTGCGCTGAGATCATGCGAATATTCAAGAATCACCTGACGAGACTCCAGACGATGTTAAATGTGAGTCGCAATCTAGTGCTGCATGCTGCTTCATTACATCTCATTTTTCAACACAGAGCGCTGCTGTTAGTGGCGCAATAAATATTACTTGCGACGTGTGGCAAGCTACCAATATTGATGGATATTTTGCCGTCACTGGACACTGGATCGAAGAGAAGTCAATGATGCTTTGGAAGAGTGAAATGGCACTTCTCGGCTTTACCCAGCTCAACAATGCACACAACGGGAAGCGTCTCAGAGGTGCGCTGTTCAAAGTTCTAGATCGTGTTGGTATCGCGCATAAGGCATGTCATCTTCGCTCTTCGCATTCAGCTTGGCTTTGTCTAATCATGATATATAGTTGGGCCATGTTACTTGTGATAATGCTGCCAACAATGGCACAATGCTCAAGGAGTTCACTCAACTCTATGAAGGACGATTCAAGAAGAAGTTTCCTTGGCGTGAATGAAGGATCAAGTACGTTGCTTGTTGTCTCGCAGCTAACATGACTCACAATTGTGTTCACAGCTGTCTCACTCATGTAATTAATCTTGGTACCCAAGTACTGATCAGTACATACAGAAAAGCACCACATTACGAACCTCACAACCCCCATGCTCACGAGCCAGATACCACCATGCATCGTGAGCATGATGAGATTGGCCTCATACGTTCAATATGTGTAAAGGTGATTGGTTTCTCTTTGCGCACAATGATTTACTGATTTTTTCAAAGGAGCGATCTTCCACGAAGCGCAAGGAACTATACAAAATGGTCCAAGTCAAGGCTGGCATCTCCCGCCCTACACAACTCCTTCTGGACATGAAGGTTCGTTGGTTGTCGACCTACGTGATGATTAATCGTGCAGAAACTAATCAAAAGGTGAGTCAAGCTCCCACATGCACGAAGTTGCTCTCATCTGTTTTGACTGATTTCCCATTGCCCAACAACAGCACATTGACGTCTTCGTGTACGAGATGGGGCTACAAGAGCGAGACTTGACGAAGCGGGCGAAGATTGACTTCCTTAGGTTGGCGCCAGCCGAATGGACCCATGTTGGTAAATTTGCTGATTTATTATCTGTAAGTTACCTTCATCATTTGATATAATGCTGTTGTTGATTTGATATTTCAGTATGCAGACGTGGCTCAGCAGGCATTCTCGTCCAAATCGAGTACTACACTGCATCTTGTGATCCCTGCACTCGAGACTCTCCATAGAGCTTGGTCTTCACATGCAGGACGGCCAAAATATGCACGTTTTGCACCTGCATTGCACGCCGCTGCACAAAAGCTCGATGAATATTACAAGAAGACCACTGGCTCCCCGGCCTATGTCATGACCATGTGTACGTGCTGACTGTTTCATGTTCCATGTGTCTTCGATGTTAATGTTGCATGCAGTGCTTGATCCAACAGGTAAAATGTTGTATTTCAAGAAGAACTGGCCGGAACATTTGCAAGATGATGTTCTTGCTTGCGCCGAACGAGTGGTATGTCTGACCGAATTATTCACCAGCTCACATTCACTTACAAACCATGTAGTTTGAGGCTCACTATCGTGAATTGGGCCAAGCAGCATCCACATCGCAACCATCACTGGCCAAGAAAGGGAAGGCTAGCGGGCTTAAGAAGTTTATTCGCGAGACACAAAGCTCCGATGAAGACGACGACAATGAGACTGTTGTCACTCATACAAATCCGTCTAGACCATGGTATGCGAGTTTCAAAAACTATATTGATGCTGTAGAGACAAAACCTCCACCGGGAATGAGTGCAATCCAATGGTGGGGAGTAAGTACACAACTGAGTCCATATCTTCTCGCTACTGACTGGTTCTTTGTTGTAGATCAACGGTGTAGGTAAAACAACTTTTGCTGAACACTACACGAAGTGAGTGTCTAGCAAAATATAATTGTTGTGGTCTAGCACAGCCTAGTCTGCTTATACTTGCAAGACAAGTGCGTTCGACCCGAGGGGTTTGCTGTAAGGTATTAGAATAATTAGCTATACGAAGTCCGAAGCGCAGGAAACAAGTCCGAAGGTATAATTACGAGTCCAATGTCAAAAATGTTGGGTCCAATGTTTTCAGGTTTCGGATTAGTGGGTTTCGTCGGATTAGCGTCGGGTTTGTAGTGAATGTCGGGGATAGTGAATGGCGGGTTACTGTCGGTGTTTTTCGGAGTGTTTCGGATAAAGAATGGATGATATTGCGGAATTCAACTAAGAACTACTGATATCCAATGACCTCCTCCTACTCGGAGGTAGAAAGGTAGATAAGTAAGTAGGAGGTATGTGAAAATATATAGTGTCTATGTAGAATTTCGGAGTGCTATAGGCGAAAGTAGTAGCACTAATTTTCGGGTCCAATGTCCTATGTAATAAGACATGTGGTACTGCGGACATGTAATAAGGCTGTCTACAATGTTAGTGACGTGAAAACTGATAACTGCGCACCTAGTGTGGATAGATACGACTGGACAGGACATAGGGAGGACAAATGCGTGGGAAAATATCGGATCCGAAGCGGCTGATGCGCGGGAACACTGGGTTTGCATTGGGTTAGTGTCAGGTTTAGCGGGTAAGCGTCGGATTGAGTGGGTGAGTGTCGGATATCATTGGAAAGTGATTCTTGTGCGATGGGTGTTTGACGTGCATCGGAAAATAGCTGAATACAGGCTCAGCGCGAGCTCAAGTGCTACAACGGACACAGATATGGGGCAGTATGGATCTCAATTGCTCGTGACTACCTGTCAATTATGGCATCGTCAGTTTCAAGTGAGCGCACGTTCTCACAGGGCGGTATCACTATCAGCAAGCGCCGAAACCGTCTCAAGGGTGACCTCATTGAGGCACTTCAATGCGTCAAATGTGCCCTCCACCACAATGTACTCTTCCGTGAGCCTGGACCGTCATCATCAACTGAGGAAGCTCTTGAGGACTTGGATATTGAGTCAGACACTAGTAATGACTCCAAGAAGCTGAGTGATGCTGAGGATGAAGGTTGGGACACTCTTCTGGAGGGAGATGAGGATCTCGTAGAATCAGACAGTGACTTCGTGTAAATAGTATGTCATCCTTGTCTGAACCATTTTTCTGTTTTCAGTGCTCGGGCCGTGGCTCAGGCCGAGCCAGGCCAAAGCCAAGCCGTCATTGACGGCTTTGGCCTGGCCCGCAGTTTTTCAAAGCCAAAGCCATCTGAAGCCAGGCCAAAGCCGCAGCTTTCAGGCCAAGCTGGGCCGTGCACATCACTAATCGCTGATTACCCTGAACAATCAGTCCTTGCTTGCATTGTTTACAATTGGTGTGTGAAGTAAGTGTTTTTAATGAGCATTCACTCCAGCCTATTGTCATATCCCATATTCTGGACCTACATCCGATAATATTCCCACGCCTCATCCGGACCTTCGGATGTCTTATCCATGTCTCCAGTACCCATCCGGATCCCTGCACCTCTGCACATCCACATCCGCATGCCCACGTCCAGATCCCTTACCCTTCGCAGCTAGCCTGCATCATTCATCCTTGTCCCATTGCCCTAATGCCACATCCTATATATCCACGCATCTCGTCTGGACCATATCCAATCTGGTCCAATCCGATGTATAGATCCATTTACTATCCGATATACGATAAGCTTCTTAATTCATTTCCTGTGCATAACGTTAACACAGCCTATCTGGTATTCCTTGTTCCTGGTACCTCGGTTATACTTACTACTGGTATGCTTACTGATCCGTTAACCTATGCTTCATTTCCGACTCGCGTTTGATAACTTTGCTTATGCTTCATACATAGCCTTGGACCTTTGCTTATTGATCTTTCTGATAGTTACTTAGTATATAAACTCTTGTATATGTCCTGTAGTTCCTGAGTCTGAATATCATATTAGTCCTCGCACTAGTCTTCACACTAAGTCTTCATACTAGTTACTTCCTTGTGAATATCCACTTAGGCCTAGGGAGGAATTCCCTAGGCTGGAGCTCCGCTCCTCCGATCCTGTATTCATCCGATCTGAAACTCATCTGATCCTACAATCCTACCTTCCTCCAAGTTTCCGGAAGTTCATCCGGATCTTTCCCGCAGTCCTCCGGACCTATTCTGCTTTGGACATTGTCCTTGCAGCCATACCTCTGTTTGCTTCTACTCAGGACAAGTCCTGAGTAGCCATTACACATATCCGTATCAGGATGAAACCTCATTGTAATTTCCGAAAGTTCCTCTGGAACTTTCCCACACTCATCCGGAAGATACTTGCACTCGTCCGGAAAGTCCTTCTGAAGTTTCCCGCGCCTTCGGACGTCCTTCGGACGTCTTCGGATCTTCTCTGGACATCAATCTGAAATTAAGGGCACATACTCAGGTAAGGGGCGCAGCGCACGAGCTGAAGCCAAGCCCCTCAGAATCAGTCCTACCCTTTGTGCTTGGTCTTAACATCTATGCTGACAATAATGCCTCAGGTGCTTTGCATTCCCCAACAACTTGGATGCACTTGACAATGGGCTGCATGGCCGAGAAGTTACTGATACTCTTTGTGAGGAGTTCAATTACACAACACTGTGGGAGGAATGGGGAGTTATCAGTGACTTAGTGGTAAGCATGCTCAACTTTCATTTCTCTCACTTCATTCACACTTTTCAGCCTTTCACCAATGATTACCCTCATGCCGGTATCCATGAGCTCCTGTCACCAGATATCTTGCATCAAATCGTTAAAGGCACATTTAAAGACCATTTAGTTATGTGG